ATTTTCTCGAGTCAATTCCATTTTCTCAACGACTAAACAAGTTTGACAAAACCTCGTGACAAGACCGAGAATCTTTTTTTAAATAAATAAATAAATGGTATTCGATTTTTAAAACCAAGGAGTTTTCAATTAAAAAGATTTTAATATGACAGGAACAGTGGAAATATTCCATTCCCGATACTTTTAGTGCAGCCTAGTATGTAGGTACCATTTTCTCCTCTGCTTGTCAACCGTCCTATGTTTTGTTTATTAGATAAATATATTTTTTTAGTGTGATAAATATTTCTGTATTAACGATGTTTTTTCCACTCTTACAAGAAATGTCATGAACAATACGAAAGTGAAAATGTTAATAGTACATGAAATGAATCTATAATAAATTTTGAGATATCAGTGATTCCGGTCGAGTTTCGATCATTTCGCGAACGTTAGGGGAAATAAATACACCAAGAACATTTTGAATTATGTCCAAATGGTAAATTTTACAATTTTATTAATCAACGTTACCCGTAGCTCCATTCACGCACAGGTAGAAAAAAACTTTTTGTCTTGGTTTCTATTTTAATTTTTGTAGATCGTAGTCAAATATCAACGATAACTATTCACTGAGTTTCTCGCTGAGTCTTCTCTCTCACTCGGTCGCGATTCTAATCCGGTGGTAGAATTCTGCGAAGCACTGCTCTTACTTAGCACAGTAAATGCCATGACTTATGCGATATGAGGTCGCAGATTCAATCGGATTGTACAGCAGCTATACCCTTTACTGCTCCGCAGAAATAGACAGAGTCGGTGGTTCAGGCTAACAACAGGCCTTACCAGCAAAAACACAAGATCATTTTATTTGAAGTCGTCGTGGCCTAAAGGATAAGACGTCCGGTGCATTCGTATCAAGCGATACAACGGTGTTCGAATCCCGCAGGGATCCCGGGTACCAATTTTTCTAATGAAATACGTACTTAACAAATGTTCACGATTGACTTACACGATGAAGGAATAACATCGTATAATAAAAATCAAATCTGAAAATATTAAAATCAAATCAGAAATCAAATCTAAAAATCAAAAATTTGCGTAATTTTACTGGTGGTAGGACCTCTTGTGAGTCCGCACAGGTAGGTATAGCCCAAGAGCCCGTGGGCTCTACCTGTATGTATTTGACCAGACCTGAATTTTCGTACATTGAGACCCCTATACCTACCATGCATGAGGTGGGGACTCACTAAGCTCAAAGTGGTCGACGCGCCGAGCGCTCAGGTCGGACAGGTACCGATTTTGACGGATTTTAAATCTATTTGACCACGTCTGCCATTTTGAAATTTTGAAAATATATGATTATTATTATCGGAAAATAAGAATGGCAGACCATTATCGCGCATTTTACTTTGTGGCAGATCACTTTGAAAATACTAAAAAAAAAAAATTTTGAAAGTAATTGACCAGATCTGCCATTGATATAATAATATGTTGTTTATTATAGTCTTAAAAACTTATATTGATCACGGCAGACCTCTACATTGCGTACACACATCAACATAATATAATAAAATCTTAGCTACTACCCGGCCAGATGTATATAATGTTTCCGTTCATTGTTTTAGAGGAATATAATTTACTTGCGATTTACTTTAGCAATGTATTTACCGAAATTAATATTTTTTTATATTCTATATACTAAACTTCATTAGTTAGACAATTAAGAAGTGATTTTTTTTACGGAATAATTATAAATAATACGGTATAATGCTGATCAAAAAATAATTCAATTCCTCATTTTTATTTCGTCAAGACAAAATTTAAAAGTGTTAAATCAGTTAAAAAAATATATCATGCATGCATTACATTCATCATCTTCATCGGAGTCATCTTTATCGTTAGGCGACTCGTCTTCATCATCCATTGAATCGAATACTGCAAAAATAAAACATAAATTGTAAAATGAACGTAAATTCATCTGAACATGTTCGAGAAAGAATTGTTATCAACTTACCAGGAACATTGGTGATTAAGTCACTCACAAAATATGGAAGTTGGTCAACTTCGAACCCTTTGAAGGCATATATGTTGTCCTGCTCAATCCAACCATACTCCAATGGGTCTAAAGTTGTGGGCTGCTTTTTGTAAGCATTTCTCCAAATAGAAGAAATATAGTGGGCCTTCAAAAGTTGTTGATAAAGCTCACTCTTACGCGGTGGTATTGAGCTTGCCTCAAAATTTTGAATTTTTTTTCTATAATTTTCGTTGATGTCTGAATCTTTATAGTTGCTAACGAATAGCTGGAATCTTCCATCATCTACATCACTAGATTTTTTGGCATTGTATAGCTGGCAAGTTAAATGTTGAATGATAAAAATGAGGAATTGAATTATTTTTTGATCAGCATTATACCGTATTATTTATAATTATTCCATAAAAAAATTCACTTCTTTATTGTCTAACTAATGAAGTTTAGTATATAGAATATAAAAAAATATTAATTTCGGTAAATACATTGTTAAAGTAAATCGCAAGTAAATTATATTCCTCTAAAACAGTGAACGGAAAACATAATATACATCTGGCCGGGTAGTAGCTAAGATTTTATTATATGTTGATGTGTGTACGCAATGTAGAGGTCTGCCGTGATCAATATAAGTTTTTAAGACTATAATAAACAACATATTATTATATCAAGGGCAGATCTGGTCAATTACTTTCAAAATTTTATTTTTTTAGCATTTTCAAAGTGGTCTGCCACAAAGTAAAATGCGCGATAATGGTCTGCCATTCTTATTTTCCGATAATAATAATCATATATTTTCAAAATTTCAAAACGGCAGACGTGGTCAAATGGATTTAAAATCCGTCAAAATCGGTACCTGTCCGACCTGAGTGCTCGGCGCGTCGACCACTTTGAGCTTAGTGAGTCCCCACCTCATGCATGGTAGGTATAGGGGTCTCAATGTACGAAAATTCAGGTCTGGTCAAATACATACAGGTAGAGCCCACGGGCTCTTGGGCTAGTACCACCACCCCGCCTATTTCAGCCGTGAACCTGTAATGCGTTTCGGTTTGAAGGGTGGGGCAGCCGTTGTAACTATACTGAGACCTTAGAACTTATATCTCAAGGTGGGTGGCGCATTTACGCCATAGATATCTATGGGCTCCACTAACCACTTAACACCAGGTGGGCTGTGAGCTCGTCCACACATCTAAGAAAAAAAATGTATTTTTCATTCGTCCATATTCATCTTTTAAATTATTATCATGATATAATATTGTCTACGTTATTTATGTGATTATATATATATATATATATATAATATACCGTGTATGTGTTTGTATATTGTATAAAGTAGTTTGGTTATTTTCACATTAAGTTATGCACCTACCACAGGATTCTCTACACCACCCTTGGTTGACTGGTAGAGAATGCCTCAAGCATTAAGTCCGCCATTGTACTTCTGTGCATTAAGTTAAATATAAAAAAATATATATGTATTCCGTTTTTTTTACACTGCCATATTCATTCATCGCGTACTTCGATCAACAATAGTAACTCGCGTATTTTACATTTTTTATCGAAATACCTATTGATTCCAGGTACGAAATGGTGCGGGGCTGGTAACGTGGCAGACGACTACGAAGACCTAGGATCCGAACGGGAGACAGACATGTGTTGCCGGGATCACGACAACTGTCCTGACCTCATACTGGCGGGGGAAACCAAGAATAACCTGACCAATTCAGCTTTCTACACCAGGCAAGTTGAGTTTAGATTTCAATGGCCACCCTAGATATTCGTAGATTGTAAAATTAGCTCAGAAACTTCACATAACACGTCTGAACATAACTATCTTCTTCTTCTATATCTATCTTCTTCTTCTATATCTATTAAAATGAATTACTGTTCGTTAGTTTCGCTAAAACTCGAGAACGGCTGGACCGATTTGACTAATTTTGGTCTTGAATTATTTGTGGAAGTCCAGAGAAGGTTTAAAAGGTAGATAAATATGAAAATGCTCGGAATTAAATAAAAATAACAATTTTGTTTTTCCTTTGATGTGTCCCCCGTCGGACGGATTCCCTTTGTTTGTTTTAAGTTTATTTTATAAAAAAAATTTAGGGCTTTTATTTATCGATTGAGGCACTACGAAGTCTGCCGAGTCAGCTAGTAATTAATATATTACGCTATTGAAGACCAAAAGTAATGAATGCACAACGACTAGCCACATGTGACATCATACTTAGTGATTCTTTGTAAATGTATAAGTTTAAAATAATTACAATCAATAAAATTTGTTTAGCAACACAAATTAAAAGAAATAATTCACAAAAATTGATCGGACCGTCTTTTTAATTTATTTAAAATCTCTTCTAATTTTATCATATTGTTTCATATTATTATTGTTTTGTTGCCCGATCTCAGAGATTTCACACAGAAAATACTTTCATACCTATTACTGGTGGTAGGACCTCTTGTGAGTCCGCACGGGTAGGTACCACCGCCCCACCTATTTCTGCCGTGAAGCAGTAATACGTTTCGGTTTGAAGGGTGGGGCAGCTGTTGTGACTATACTGAGACCTTAGAACTATATCTCAAGGTGTGTGGCGCATTTACGTTGTAGATGTCTATGGGCTCCAGTAACCACTTAACACCAGGTGGGCTGTGAGCTCGTCCACACATCTAAGCAATAAAAAATAAATAAAAAAAATTAAGAAAAAAAAACATAATTTGTTTTTAGTAAACTATTTAAATTTTTATTAATAATACATAATTAACTCTATATTAAGGATATTTTCTTTAATGCAAAGAGTTTTCTCTTCGAAATCCAACAACTTAATAGGCTGCAGATACATGTAAGGATTTCGCACTCCTTAAAATAAATTTAATTACGTTATTTTTCTGTAAATGTAAACCTTTCGTCTTAAATAAACATTTTAATCCGCAGGTTAAGTTGCGAATGCGATGAAGGGTTTCGAAAATGTCTCCACGATGCGAACAGCACCACAGCCAAACGCATCGGAGTTATTTATTTCAATGCACTGGGGACAAAATGCTACAGGAAGGATTATCCGATTGTGAAATGCACAATGCGCGGAGGGTAAGTCTAAAACTAATGTCACATATGAGTCGTCTATTATCAAAGGTGGCAATCTGTGCATTGGGACAAAAAAATGTTTTTGATATGTCAATACAGATTGATTTGAATATAATCGTCTCCTTCAAAGAATACGGTTCAAAACCTGCATTAAATAAAGGTTAATACTTAACCTGTTATTTATCTAAGATGTCGTTCCGAAGAGTTTTGTGACTGCCAATGGAATACAAAGTCAATAATTCGTTTTTCTGATTTACCAATAATTGTCCAAAAGTCAGATTGCCGGCTTTGATCATAGTCGACTCATATATGGTATTTAAAAATTTAACTCATCAAGTTTCTTATTTATGTGTAAAGAAGCATTTTTTTTTAATAATTATTATTACTAGAGGTCCCGCAGTAGTCGAAATTCGACTATAATTAATTGGATTTGTAAGTTTGTTCATTATTATGATTGTGTTTTATACTTCTATAATCACAAATTTCGCCAAGACTACATTATAAAAAATATTAACAAAGACAAACAATATTTAATCTATTCTCAATTTGACAACAGACGTCAAGAACAAAAGTTTGACAATAAATTAGGTTTCCTACTTCAGTGCAATAAATAGTATGCATGCGTGTATGCGTCAAGTACATGGTATGTAGTGTGTGTAATCTTTTCTTTATTGATTTTATGTATACTTTATGCATTATTTAAAAAAAAAATTAGCATTGTGCACTTCTTCTCTATATTTTCTATAAGTGTGGAAAATTTCATACTCCTCCGTCCGCACAATTTTCGTAAAAAGGGATACAAAGTTTTTGCTTCACGTATTAATATATAGATATTATAATATATTATGTATTAATTGTATGCATATTTACGGATATATGTATGCATGTGTGTATGTGTACATATATGTATATGTATGTCACTGGATTGGTACACCGCGCGTAGTTCGTTTCCAAATAATTCTTGTCCACCTGATGGTTATTTGGAAGAGATCGCTCTTAGCGATAAGACCGCCAATTGTATTTTTTTGTATTTAATGTATCGCACTATTTATTTGTTTTTTGGTTTACAATTAAGAATACTCTGTCTCTCTCTCTCTCTCTCTCTTTCTCTCTCTCTCTCTTTCTCTCTCTCTCTCTCTCTCTCTCTCTCTCTCTCTCTCTCAAGTTTCTCGCCGGATCTTTTCAGTGGATAGCTATACCGATCCAGTGGTAGCGAAGAACTGCTAGCTAGCTAGCTCTTGTTATCAATTCTCAGTTTGAGCCCCATGATCTCACTTAGCAGGAAAAGCTCTAAGACGCGAAGCCTAAGGAGTACCAGTGATTGAGTAGGGACAAAAAAAAAAGCTTAAAAATCTCCATAATTTATCTCAAGTTATACTTCTTTTGTCTTCGCCTTCTAGAAAGAAATCGGAGTGTATTTTTAGCACGTGACGTTTAGTGTGACGAGTTAACGATCAAATTAAATACACTTTAAAGATTGTGTCTCAAGATTACAGGCGATTTCAGGCAAAATCTCCAGATGTTAACATAAAATAATAAGTTTTTTTATTTTTTTTTTGCTTAGATGGGTGGACGAGCTCACAGCCCACCTGGTGTCAAGTGGTTACTGGAGCCCATAGACATCCACAACGTAAATGCGCCACCCACCTTGAGATATAAGTTCTGAGGTCTCAAGTATAGTTACAACGGCTACCCCACCCTTCAAACCGAAACGCATTACTGCTTACGGCAGAAACAGGCAGGGTGGTAACTTGATGATTAATTAATGATGACAAGAACTCTAAATTCTACGAAACTATTGAAATTTTGCAAAATGAAAACCTACTTAATTTTATTAAACCGAAAATGTATTTTTAATTTCATATTTTCACGTTACAGTTGGTTCAAAAGGAAATGTTTACGGTACGACGTCGATATGAATGAGGATCAGATATACCAATGGTTCGACGTGAATAACTATTGATAGCCGATGATGAATCAATAGTAATAGAACTAATAGAAGAAGAAATAATTAATAATTTATAAATGAACTGGGAACAAAACACGCACGATCATCCGGCCTCAAATTAGGACTACCCGTGCTATGAATACCAGAGACTGACATACATACTTATATACATTTAAATATATACATACTAAATAATATACACTCAGAAAAAGTGTAAACATATCTCTGTTTATCACACGAATGTTTGCCCAACGTGGGAATCGAACCCAGGACCCTCGGCGAAAAAGTCAGACGCATTAACTATTGCACCATCGAGTCGATCGAAATATTAAAATGAAACAAAACGCCACCTTCCTCATCAACATCCCAAAGACCTTCCCTGCAGGATAAAGACTTCCTCCCCTAGATCACCCTACAATACTGCGCTACCCGCCCAATGGAGCGGGTCTCCCACTCTGTGACGTCACGTACGCAGCCATCACTGAACCAGTTATTACCCCTGTTATATTCTAATTAAGAAATACGATATGTTTAACTCAATATTCCGATAGTACAGTGCTATTTTCTGCTATATTGGATTTTCAAGTTTGTTATTAAATTTTGGCGATATTACTTTGAAGTATTTTTTTATAAATGTCCGACGTATTAAATTATGTGCTTTTAAGGAAATAAATTTGAAATAAATATATCTATTGTTTGAAATAGTTTTTTAATCAGTATTCCCAATCACCTCAGAGGTCTATCGTGGGGTTTTTGCGTTGGACTCCAAGAAGTAACGGATTGAAGCCAGTGTTAGTTTCGTAAGTTTGATCCGGTAAACTGATCTATGGATTTACACACATTTAAGGTTCCACAAGTGACTGCTTAAGCTCTGTGTTGTTTAAGTTCTATGATGTTTACAAAAATAGCTTCTCCATCGTCAGAATTGCTATAATTTTTATTGTAGGCGTTAAGTAATCAAATTGGATACGAAAGTACGGAAAGACTAAATGAACCTCTTTACTTGTTTCTTTCTTATTTATTTATTATGTATCTGATTTTACGTATTTCATGAAGGCTTCTTCAATTATATCCCTTCTTATTTCCCATTAAAATCATTAGTCACAACAATTTTGATCGTTAATGGAAATTTCAGGTTTCATATATTATCACTATACATTACGGACAAACATTTAAATCAGTTTTAAGGTATGAAAAATAATGGTCAAATTTTATTGCATAGATAGGTGGACGAGCCCACCCGGTGTTAAGTGGTTACCGGAATCCATAAACGTCTACAACGTAATTGCCGCCACCCACTTTGATATATAAGTTTTAAGTATAGTACAACGGCTGCCCCACTCTTCAAGCCGAAACGCATTACTGATTCACGGCAGAAATAGGCGGTGGGGTGGGACCTACCCGTGCGGACTCACAAGAGGTTCTACCGCCGGTAAAAATTCCTACATTCCTTACAAAAGCTCGTCCAAATTTGATAACTATATACCTTAATATTGGGGCTGGTTGAAAAAATTACCACATACCAGTAAAAGCTGTAAATTATATTAATTGTCATTAAAACGAATTCAAAAAGAATTTCGAATTAATACGACCACTACTGTATTATTCGTTGACTTTGGAATACAGCACTAAACAATTACCCAACTTACTAATAATCCGCGAAAACCGAAGAAAATTATACACTATCCTTACTTTAGACATTAAAGTCGTAGCATTTTTTTTATTATAGTACTAGCCGTACTCGCCCGCTTCGCTGGGAATTTAAAATTAACATTACTATTTATTGTTATTATTATTAGGGAGTCCAACACTCATATAAATATTAGCCTATCCATTAAGTACATGTATTTTCTACATGGATACCAAGTTTCAAGTAAATCGGATGCATGGTTCAGTAGTTATAACGGAACATCCGTAAATATCACTGTAGATTTATACATTAGTATAGCTGATTATGTGTGCAACGACAAGCAAAAGTGCTGTTATCAGAATTTAAATAAATCAAACCAATTAATTTTTATTTAATTTCTATTTATTTTGATATCACTTGAGTTATAAACGTACATTAGAGGTAATTGTGATTAATCCACACTAAAAAATAATAATCTATAACACATATTTTACGTAATACTACAAACTCTTAAATAAATTACAGACTATAGGAACAATGGTATCACATTAACGTTATAATACTATGGGCTGCATCCGGGAAGGTGTTCAGTGTGTCCAGGTCATCAGTTGGCGTAGTTCCTGACGTCGAACCACTGGTAGATCTGTTCGCTCCTCGTGTCGTAATCGTACTCCAAACATTTCTTTCTGAACAATCTGTAACAGTTAAGCAATAGTTTAGAGATGCGATCAGTATTATCTTAGGACGACCTTGAACACGGTATCCTGTCGATAGTACTTCAGTAAGATTCAGTACTGACCCTCCGTAAGTGTTGCAGCCTACGACAGGGTAGTCTCGTCTGTAGCACGTGGTGCCGAGCGCGTTGAAGTATATCTTGCCGATTCTGCGCGACGTCTTCGTGTTAGCTTTGTTCAGACACAGCCGGAATGCCTCGTCACATTTACAGTTCAACCTGGAAGAAAGATGATAACTATATTATGATACTTCTTAAAGAACTATTGCCTTATTTAAGAATAAATCTTATTGAATATAAAGTACAATATTATGTTTATTTATTTTTCTTAAAATGTCCGTGTAGTACCTGGTGTAGAAGGCGTCGTTGTTGAGGCCGTGCTTGGTCTCCCCGGCGAGTATAAGGTCAGTGCAGTGGTCGTGCTCCCGACAGCACATGTCAGTCTCGCGCGCTGAGCCCAGGTCCGCGTAGTTCTTCGCTATGTCCCCTTTACCGCACCATTTTGTACCTGAAAATAATAAAGACTATATTTTTAATTTTCTGATACTTTTTCGCTGGAACTAAGTATTCATTAAACGAACAGTTAGTCTGTAGTCAATACGCAGAAATTAAATACAATCATCTAGTAAAAAAACTCTTACCAGGAAATATGAAGTCGAACTTCTTCCTTGCTATTGTTTCACTTTGAATATCTAGTACGTCTTCATCGACATTAACAGAAGCGTCGTCCGCAAACCAGCTGCCGGTCACTCCGTTAATGTATAAAACGATCATTAGAAAGAAACAATATAAACAAGCGGCCATTTTGAACACCTCAACGGCTTTATGTATTCGTACTGTTAAATTATTGCACTGTTTGAAGAGCGTAAATTAGTAAATGAACCTGTATCGGCTAGTATTACTCTTGTGTTACTGAATGAAGGAAGTCACTTAATATGACTTTATATGTAATGTTTTATCGTTCATTATTTTGTTCAAGTTTCCTTTAGCATGACGTCGTTGTGTTCATCAATAAACTGGGACTAGCCAAGAAGCAACAATACGTAAGCACATTTAGTGCGTATACATACGTAATACAATATATACAAATACATAGGTACGTAATACAAATATATTCCCACGTGGCGATGAGATAATAAAAATTGTGGTGTCAGCAAAATAAAAAAAGGGTGCGTGTACTTATGTACGCGCTTAAGAAGTTATACTTTATGTTTATTAAATTTATTTCCTTTTTTTTTAAATATTAAATAATTAATAATAAATATTTAACGTTAATAATTTAATAACATTTAGTATGAATTATATTAAATAATAATTTTGTCATTTATATTACTAAATAATACATACAGATAGTTAACCTCAATTGTATTGGAGCACATAGGAAGGTTGATGAGCACAGTTTTTTCACAAATATTTTCTAATATTAATTAGTATTGATTTAAATATTCAATTTAAATCACTTCTGATTATAATTCAGACGCACATATAAAATTCGCACTTGTATAATGAAAACAAAATCAAAACACGTCTTTTAAATGTAGAAACTCAAAGAATGTGGATAAATATTATAAATATAAATACACAGTGAAAAGAGGCGGCGTGCGTGCCAACATGCGCCACTAACAGAGGTTCCATTTCTGTTTTGTTGGTAGCATTTTTTCCTCACCTTAATGAGCGATTTAGTGGGCAACTTCATTTCTGTTAATTTTGTGTCACGGTGCGCGCGCATCGTAAAATTTCACTCTTATAAATTTTTCATAACGCGCCTAAAGAAGTAAACTTCAAAAATAAAAAAACTAATCTACTATAATATGACGAACGAATTGAGAGCCTTTTCCTTTTCTACTTAAAATTGGTTAGAAGGGGCAGTTTATTTTATTGTCTATAGTATAACCCAGGATTCAAGAAATAGGATGGTGGTATATACCTGTGTCTCGCTACCCCTCTCTCTTTTTCAGCCCACAGAGGTCCACTAGCCGAACATTACGGTATGCTCTACAATAAGTAAATGTCTGCCATCGCATCATGGTGGTATAATGTTCAAGTTACGCTGCTGCCTATTAACCGGTGACTCCCTAAGAAGCCTTTTAAAACAGTCACCGAAGAGATGGTGTAGTGCAATTTAAAAACACCAAGTTGGCGCAGGTGAGATCAATTCACGATCAACTTAGTGTTGTGCATTACCTGGGAACCATCATGAGGCTAATGCTGCCTTTCGCGTTGATATAAAGGTGGAAGTTTCAATGATAATAAAGTAAAACCACCGTTATCGACTGATGCTTTAAAGTAGACAGATGTATAGGCAGCGCATAGATAGGCAGCAACTTGGCTCTATCCCTGGCATTGCTGAAGCCCATGGGCGACGGTAACCACGGCCGTACGATCGTTTGCCAACAAGGGCAATTAAAAAAAAGGTGGTGGACCTCACTGCGCGCTGGCATTACGCACAAGCACTACTGAAGACTCCGTTTAAATGTAAACTAGCCCCTTACCACGAAGTAATTTAACTCCCGGTAATTATGCCGGGCTGGTCTCGTAAAGACTACTTAAGAATATAGTTGACTGAATATGGCAACGAATGGTACTAGTGTAATTCAAATAAATAAAAAATATAACACATAAGCTATATGTTTGTACTTTATTTCTCATTTAAATCAAATTAATTTTCATACGTTCCCCAAGGGAAACCTAATTTACGTACGAATGCAATAAACAAAAGTTAACAACGCGTAGTCTTCTTACGTCTGTGATTTTGTAAAAGTAAATGACGTATTATTGTTGTAAATAATAGCGATGTAGATCAATGTTTCCCTTCGCGCGTTGTCCCGATTTACTGCCATCACGTCACATTACAGGAAACTGTGAAAAAACAGCTATATAATATATAAAGAAAAACATTAAATAATTAATCATTCAGTATTAAAAAGACTTCAATACGAACAGCACCAATTTATGAAATAGTTATATAGTGCTTAATTTCGATAGAAAAAAGTTGTTGAAATGTTCAAAATGGCCGCTTGTTTTTGTTGTTTCATTTTAATGATCACATTGTACATTAACGGAATGACCGGCAGCTGGTTTGCGGACGACTCTGCTATTAATATCGATGAAGACGTACTAGATATTCAAAGTGAATCAATAGCAAGAAAGAAGTTCGACTTCATCTTTCCTGGTAAGAGTTTATTTACTAGTTGATTAATTAATTCATTTCTGCGTATCGACAACTAACTAGCTGTTTGTCTAATCAGCACTTAATTCTAGCTAAAAATAATTAATAAATTGAAAAAAATGTATTTTACTTTCAAAAGGTACAAAATGGTGCGGTAAAGGGGACATAGCGGAGAACTACGAGGACCTGGGCTCAGCGCGCGAGACTGACATGTGCTGTCGGGAGCACGACCACTGCACTGACCTCATACTCGCCGGGGAGACCAAGCACGGCCTCACCAACGACGCCTTCTACACCAGGTACTTACTACACGGACATTTTAATAAAACAAAATAAACAGAATATTGTACTATAAAATCAATAAGATTTGTTCTTAAATAAGGCAATAGTTCTTTAAGAAGTATCATAATATAGTTATCATCTTTCTTCCAGGTTGAACTGTAAATGTGACGAGGCATTCCGGCTGTGTCTGAACAAAGCTAACACGAAGACGTCGCGCAGAATCGGCAAGATATACTTCAACGCGCTCGGCACCAAGTGCTACAGACGCGACTACCCTGTCGTAGGCTGCAACACTTACGGAGGGTCAGTACTGAATCTAACTAAAGTACCATCGACAGGATACCGTGTTCAAGGTCGTCCTAAGATAATACTGATCGCATCTCTAAACTATTGCTTAACTGTTACAGATTATTCAGAAAGAAATGCTTAGAGTACGATTACGACACAAGGGGCGAACAGATCTACCAGTGGTTCGACGTCAGGAACTACGCCAACTGATGACCTGGACACACTGAACACCTTCCCGGATGCAGCCCATAGTATTATAACAATAATGTGATACCATGTTCCTATAGTCTGTAATTTATTTAAGAGTTGTAGCAGTACGTAAAAGACATTAAAGTTTTCTTGTAAATGTGGATCAATCACAATTACCTTTAATGAACATTTATAATTTAAGTGATTATTCATCAAAATAAATGGAAGAATATTACTTTTTTAATTTATTTTAAAGTAATATAATTTAAATTAATTTCATTTTATTTTAATGTACAATTTACTTTCTATAACAGCGCTTGTGCTTAAATCGGTACACATACTCGTAATATGGAAATGACTCGACTTTAATCTCAAAAATAAGGATAACTTAGAAATTCCTTTGGTTTTGCGAATTCTTAGGATGTTTATTGGATTTTTTATTCCCCTTGTAGGCAGACGAGAATGTGGCCCACCTGATGGTGTGTGGTTACCGTCGCCCATAGACTTCAATACTGTAGATAGATATAGATAGTACGAAACCGGCTGGCTGTTTATCTTTAAATTCTGTTGATTATTTACGTACAATTATTATTTAATAATATAGAATTATATAACATAAAGGTAAATAAAAGGTTTATTTTTATGGTTTATTAGGCGCCCATAAAATAGATAAGTAAGAAATATGAATAAACTATTTACTTGATTATAAAATTACTGATTAAAAAATAAAAAGTTCTTTAAGTTGCCTAATCATTAGGATGTACTTGAACTAGTTCGTAAATAATGGCTCACACATGTGAGGCCGGAAGTGTTACTCGATAACACTAGGTACACTATCCTTACTTTTGACATTAAAGTCGAATCACTAAAGCTGACTGGGAACGCTACACGAAGACACTCGATGATTCCATTAGGTGGATACCACCCCTTCGGGAAAACTATGAAAGATTCCTAAAGCTAGTACTTTCCACAGCTAAAAAATGCATTCAAAGGGGATACCGGAAGCAATATATACCAAAACTGAAGCTCTATGGCAAGAGTTCATAACCACTAGCGACCGGAATGTTGCTGTCAAACTCATTGAGCCCCTCAATGAAACACGACAAGCTAAATGGGAAAGCACAGTCCAAGACATGAACTTCGCACTCTCAAGCCATAAAGCCTGGCACCTACTTAAACGCTTCACTTCTGGAACTGCCAGCCAGAAGAGTGAACCAAAAGTATGCCCCAGTAAAATTGCGGATAGGATTGTAAAACTTTTTAAAGCACTCAGCCACAAAAAACACACCCGTGAGGTGCGTAAGGATCTTGAATCTTTTAAGACAGACACTGCTCCAGGCCCCTATTTCAGCCGTCCAGTTACAGCAGACGAGATAACTGCCAGTATCAGAGCTATTAAGGGAAACAAAGCTTGTGGAAAAGACAAAATCTTTCCAGAGCTCATAAAACACAGTGGACCCCACACCCGTGAGTGACTCGCGAAATTCTTCACGAATATCGTTGACTCTGGAAAAATCCCATTTGCGATGAAACGGGCGAAGATAACGGCAATACTCAAACCTAGTAAGCCAGCTGACAGTGCGGATAGCTATCGCCCCATTGCCCTTCTGAGCGTAATGTATAAAGTACTTGAGCGAATCATACTTAACCGCATTGCACCAACTATAGAAAAACATATTCCTCAAGAGCAAGCTGGATTCCGTCCAGGACGCAGCTGCTGCGATCAAGTGTTAGCACTAACCACACTCTTGGAGAGGGGCTTTAACGAAAACCTCAAGTCGTCAACTGTATTCGTGGACCTAACAGCTGCTTATGACACAGTGTGGCGCCAGGGACTGCTGTACAAACTACTCAAGCTGATCCCCTATATAAAGATCTACAAAGTTATTGAGGACGCCCTTACCAACAGACCATTCCGTGTCCATCTGGGAGATAAGTCTAGCTTATCAAGGGTCCTGAACAACGGCCTCCCGCAGGGCTCAGTCCTCGCACCAAAACTCTGAACCATCTGAACAACGTCGCAGCGAAATTGAGATACAGGAACAATATGCTACAAAAGCTGACAGGGACAACGTGGGGGATGCTCGGCAGCGACGCGTCCTGGAAGGCGATGCTCGACCTTTGAGAGTCCACCATCTCGCAGAAGGAGGCGGCGGAGCGAGAAAGGGAGAGCTCTTCCCTTTCCGCACCGATCCGTCGCCGTCGAGCCGG